TTTGTTGATAAAATAGTGGAAACTTCGGAAAGACATTTGAGGGTTGGCCACTTTGGTCAAGGATATAGTATTATTTATACAGACCCTCCTCATTGTAAAGACTGAAATGGCCTCCAAAAAATTAAAATATCAAATGTTGGGGACTTTGTCTGCCCAATCTCAGAATTTGGGAATAGTGGGACAAAAGTCAGATAAAGAATGGCAGGCTACCATGCAAAAGATAATAACAGCAGGATTTCAGCAAGTAAATGAGTGTGTCAGCCAGATAGAAGATCTGATGAAAGAGAAGTTATCAGATGTATAAACAACAGTTAAATGAAACTGTATTAACTCCAGAACTGCTTTTATTGAGTACAATACCAGGTAACATAGATGGGATAAAGAGTTATCCAGTGAGCTATTTAGCTACTACAGTCAGAAAATGTTATGTTAAAAATTGGATTACTGTTCTGGATCCATCCTTCTCTTCCAAATATCAGAAGAAAACAGAGCTACGGAAACAAGAGGCGCTTACTGAGAAAATATGGGAAGCAACAGAAATGGATACTCTTTCAGGCGTGCTGAATGACTGTCCAAATCAAAAGGAAATTGAAAGATGGGATGTATTTTACAAATGGTCTCGGTCTCCTGATAGTGATGGAGTAACTTAGATTTAAACTAAAATATAACTGTAAGTTGATAGCTGGAGGGTAATCAAATAGTAAAAAAAGCAGAAAGTTGATTTGTTATTGAAATATGAATAGATTGGATGATTCTATACTCTGTATTCTCCTATCCCTCTAATCTTTTCCCTTTCCCCCACTTCCTTTTACCTTTTGTATTTCCTACCCTATTCCTACTAGTTAAAAAACAAATATTAAAAAATGAACCAATGCATCAACATAAAACACTTCACAGAAGTTTAAGCAAATAAAGCCAACTTCATCTGCCTATGTTTAAACTATTCTTAAAATCTGAATCAGTACCACTTCACTCCCAATGAGTCGAATCTACTAGTGAGGTACCGAGGGAGCTACATAATAAAATTGTTATGGATAAACATACATGCAAGAAACTTGTGCCTTTACTCTGTTGCCAACAGCAACTGGAAAGTAGAGGATCATTATATATGTTATTCTAGAATGCAGTAACCATGTTCACACTGAAGAATTTAAGTTAATACGTGAGACTCCAACTTTAAGTAGCAAATCAGACTTGACAGGCAACCTTGGCAGTCAAGTCATTACATGCTGGCAGTCAAGTCATTACATGCTGGACACATGTAATGTGTCTGGCAGTCAAGTCATTACATGCTGGACACAATTCAACACAATTTATAGCAGGGGATAGCTATTGTGACCCTCCAGGTATTTTGGTCCCACAACTTCTATCAGTCCTAGTCAACATAGTCTGTGCTGAGGGATTGGGACAGATGCAGTCCAAAAACATCAAAAGGGCTTCAGTTGTGCACTCCTGGTCTACAAAAAGGAATTATGATTCAGACTCACCATATTGTTTCTGTCCTGATTGTATTTTGGAAACAGAAAGAAAAACAAAACGATATGTTTAGCACAAATGCTTCAAAAACATTTTAATACTTATTATCTATCAATTACCATGAGACTTTCAAGGTAACATGACAGCTATTTGCAAAGCAAAAGCCCAAATGATATCTCAAATGTATGTGGCTTGCAAATAGGTAAAGGTAAAGGTTCCCCTTGACAATTTGTCCAGTCGTGTCCAACTCTAGGGGGCGGTGCTCAACCCATGGAGCTAGCGTTTTGTCTGAAGGCAATCTTCTGTGGTCACGTGGCCAGCGCAACTAGACATGGAACGTCGTGACCTCCCCACTGTGGTGGTACCTATTTATCTACTTGCATTTTGCATGCTTTCAAACCGCTAGGTTGACGGGAGCTGGGACAAGCAACAGGGGCTCACTCCGTCACGTGGATTGGAGCTTACGACTGCAGGTCTTCTGACCTTGCAGCATAGCTTATGCAAATAGTACATAACTAAATGTATACATATACTCATGCATCCCCGCTAATCTGAGGGGCACATTAATGGATCGACCTAATATAAAATGTGCCATTCTGAAAAAATTAACTATAGTTCCCATATCTTGTCTTATCCACTGAAGCAACAAACATATAAAATAAAACTGAAATCATTACTAAAGTTCCACCTACCCCATAAAAAGCCTTAACACTCTGGTGTTGTCATACTGAATAATTATATTTTAAGCTTAATATAGCTAGGGTCGTCCACGTACAGCTTATTAATTTGTTTCATATATCATCTATTTCCGTGCATGGCTTAAAAACATATCATATCTTCCTTTTCTACCCTAAGTAAATAAAAAGTGCCAAGTTCACATACACTAAAGCTTAATGTATTTATGCTGTACAGGCCATTTTCTTTTCAGATTTCACTTTTTTTAAAGCCCAAAGCAAACCATATGAACCATGGGCTATTGAAGATAAGTAAGGGTAAACAAAAAATTAAATAGGAATCAAATAACAAAACAGCAACATAAGAACCAAATAAAGATCGTATTAGTATTTCTATATCTACATAGTTTTCTGTCAAAAATATGGTTGCAGTCTCGCCCTACCTATCAAATCATCCATCAACCAAGAAAAATAAATCATCATCCACATCAAGGAGAACAAACTACTACCACATAAATGGCACAGATGTTTATCCTCACAACTTCAACAAGGTTAAGGCAGAAAAAAAAGGAAAAATCAATGGACATCTTCAATACTCCTTGTCTAATATTATCAACAATAGTCAACAAGAATGTCCCAGCTCATATATTCAAAATCTCTCCAGACAGAGCATCCCAGCTTCCTGAGCTGCAGGAGGAAATAGTGCTTTACATATAAGCTACCCCATGAATGATCACAAGAGTTGATGCTACACAGAATTGATTATTGGAATTGATTAAAACAGAAATTGCCACACCGATTTCTTTTTGCATAAGAAAATACTGAAATGCCCAGTTAGACACAGAATAAAGACCAATAAAATCAGCTTATCAACCAAAGTAGCCCTGAGTCATGGGGGAATATTTCTATTTTAAAAAATTTCAGTAGTTCCTAAAAGATGGAAGACAGAAAATTAAAAACCTTACTTCTTTTTGTGCTATTCCCATTTTGTCTCTCCAGTGCATCAAAACTAAATCCACCTTCTCTTTGGCAAATTTTTCAACTTCTTTTGCAGCTTTTCCTGCAAGTCTCTGCCATTCTGGTACTTTATTGAACTTCCCATATTGATCCTAGATGACAAAACTCATCATGAAATCAAAATTTCATTTCATGGGAATGTAAGCAATTTGAAATACATTTAAAAACTTTGAGATATGTTTTTAGGATGTATTAAAATTACAAGGAGCAATCTGCCCTAACAGCAACATGTAAATAAGCTAATGCAAGCTCAGTTAAGAATAGCAAGGTGGGGAATCATACTTACATTTGCAATTTTTAAGTTATCCCTAATGTGCATCCGATCAGAATCCTTTTCAGGAACAAGTTCGTTACTGTCCAGGTATGAAAGTAGGCCTGATGGCTAAAAGCCACATACAAAAAAAGCATAATAGTTTCTTAAACTAAAAAGCAAACTACAGTAAAACTAAAGCATTATTAACCAAAGCTTACCCAAGCTGGTGACTGAAGTAAAGTGAATTATGTATATGGTTGGCCCTTCCTGTATGAGCTCTAGCCCTCTTGTCAGGTACTTAGGGCACTTAACTCCAGACTGGGGCTTTGGTTAGTGCATACAACTAAAGATCCTAAATCAACTCAAGATTTCCTAAGATTAACATAGTTTAGTACCATATTCTGGCATCACCCATCTTTTGTTAGTCATCCCGCCAGGTTTAATTTCAATGGTCTTCCTATTTTTTTCTAAACCACCTACATTCCTTAAAATATTATTTTACTTAGGAACAGAGATGGAGACGAATATAAAAAAGGATCGGCTTTTTTGACGAAAATAGCCAATTCATTAAATTTTCATCCCTTCATATTTGTGGGTTCCAGAGACCCCCACAAATATGAAGAGATGAATATTTACCTGTTTTTATTCGTCCTTCGTATTAAAAAAACAAAAAACATTCTGCCTATCCCCACAGCCACCCACCCCCACAGTCTACCACCCCCTTCCTCTCCCTACCTTAGCCTCACCACCACCGACATCCCCTTACCGTAATCACCCCTACCGAGGTCTCCATCTGGCCTCCCAGCCACAGCATGTAAAAAGGGAGACTGGCTGCCCTTTGCAAAGATGGCAGCTGCAGCTTCCCTACAATGTCGGGGGCGGTGGTGGCAGCGGGGGGTTAGGGGCAGCGGGTTTTTTAAAAATAACCCCCCCACACACACCAATTGATGAATAAGTTTGTTATTCGTTGCTTCATAGGGGAAACCGTGCGTCATCAACTTTTGACAACTCACGAAGCAGGACAAGTCACCAAAATGGTGAGTCGTCCACATCTCTACTTAGGAATCTATTACTTTATTCCCTCACAAATATTCTTTCCATATTAGAGTGGCTAACATATAATACATTCATGCAATCTTCAAAACTTGCAAGGAACTGTTAGGTGTTAAGTAGCTTTTCTCTTCATGTTTTATATAATTCTAATTCTGTCGACAACAATATCATGTTAATTCTGACTTATGGTGACCCTTTCCAAGGTTTCCTTGGCAGAAAGTACTCAGAGGTGGCTTATCCGCCCCTTCTTCTAGGGGCACCTTAGTGCTCTGCAGCTTGCCCAAGGCCACACAGGCTGGCTCGTTTAGGATGCAAAGTGGGGAATCAAACTGTCAACCTCCAGCTCCATAGCCAGATGCCTAACTCACTGAGTTATTCAGCCCGGAGAATTCTTCCTATAAAAACATTATTTTCTCTGTCAGAAGTTATGCAATTACTTGTAGGTATGCTCAAACCTTGGAAATGTACCACAGCTTATTCTTCCATTTTGAACAGCAAGTCTTGGGCCATAGCAAACACATATTTTCAACTTCTTTTGGTTTCAAAAGAAGTTTGCCACAAATCATGGGGGACTGTAGGTTCAAAAATAAATTCAGAGTTCCTTGAATAAGACATGCATGGAAATGTCTGTATATTGTGGCAGGTGTGAAATAAACCATCTGGAGATTTCCATATACCCAGTCAGGATTCACTCATATCCCATATGTAAAGCAACCACCCGCTACAAAACCATATTTTTGGAAAAAGAAAAGAAAAGGGGGGGGACTTAGAGTGGCCTTTAATACCGCAAGGAACAACAACTCAAAATGCTGTTGGTACCGAAGGGCATGTATCTGCCTAATGGATCTTCCACATCTCAACTGTTATCTACCAAACAGCAGTACAAACTAAGTATATGAAAACATAAGTTTTACTCAACAATGTGTTGTCCTTACACTACATTGGGGTGGGCAACTTCCAGAGATCCAAGGAGCATGCACATACACCCCAGAGTTTGGGGGGGGACTACACCTCCTGTACCCCATCTCAAAAATATTACTTTTAAAAGTGAGTGTTTTTTCCTTTTTCTTTTGTTTACTGAAAACGCCTCCCTGACAGGCCAAAATTTGACAAGAATTCCCCTCATAGAGGGCAAAGGAGACTTTGGGAGCAATTTTTTTTAAAAAAAGTTGGTTTGTTGGGTTTGTTGCTAAAGATGGCAGGAGTTCCAAGGCAGTATTAGCTGCACATGGTCCTCAACGTGCACTCTGGCCACCCTTGCCCCATATGAAGAATTTGTTCTTGGGTAACTATAGATCAACAGCTAAATATTGTACATGATCACTTACCAAAATACGCTTCAGCAAGTTTAAAGCAGTTGGATTTTCAGCTGTCCAGAGGCCCACGAGATGTCTACTCAACTGTCTGAGAAGTTAAGAAGTATGTTATTTCTTTTCTAGGAAAAAAGGTGAAGTTCAGCCATAAAAAAAGCTCTATGTTTGGTACTTTTAATAGTTCCTTGAATCTGCAATCAAATTCACAATTTAAATTTATTTGCCATGTGGCCTAGTCTATCAAGTCTCAGGCAGACAAACAACAATGAACTTAAAACCAAACATATTTTGAAATGCAACCTTCTGATCACCCATTGTAGGCACTGTTTATATTTGAAATAGTCATTAACATAGTAGTTATTTTTCCAGCAAGTCTTCTCTGATATTTTTACACATCAGTTTGCAAGTTTTAGTTTTGTATTTATTATTTAAAATGTGAAAATGTTGTGAGAAAAAGTGGAGAAGAATATTTACTGGTCAGTGATACTGCCTATACAATGATGAACTTTGAGAGAAAGGGGAGCTTACATAAAGACAGAATGTTACAATGGAAGACAAAAACAGTACAGTACAAATCTTTGTACGATTTACAAAGTCAGTAGCATTTAAGCAAATGGAAAAATTCTAGACTTACCTATTTGTAAGCATCCTTTGATCTGTGCTTATTGTAAACATAGCAGTGTGCAAGTGACGAGGTAAGGCACCTTCACTGAGAGCAAGATCTTGCATTTTGGTTGCTATCTCTTTATCTCCCTCCTTTAGAAACAGGGTAAGAAGAGAACTATGAAACAAGTTACTCTTCCTTAGTTTACAATACCAGCAAACCAAGTGCTTATAAAAATGACACAACTATGGGGTGGGGAGGAGTCGGATGTTGACCTTCCAGATAACTGTAGGCAGGCCGACCAGGAGGTCTCCGCAATGGAGCCACTTGCCCTTGCTGCTTCCTCTGCCACCAGCAGGCTCGACACTAGTTCTTGAGCCTCTGAGCCTCTCAGCGCTTAGCCTGGTTCTGACGGACCCAGGTGGCTTCCTTCAGTGGCACTAGCAACTCAGCCCAGTGCCCTGTCTCCGGATCATGGCAGCAGACTTTATGGCCTCCTCTCCTTCATTGTTCTTCCTTAAATCCCAGTCCCACCATAGCTACACCTGTGGTCTTGAGGGCATCATCTGCCTCCCCCTGGCTGACACTCTAGTCTACAGCTGACCTGCGGGCCAAGAATCTCACCCTTGCTCTTGGGCAGGTGGACAGCCCACTCTCGCAAGCAGGGGGACCATCACTGATCCCACATTGAACTTTATCTATATGTCTTTCATATGGTCCACTGCATCTGAAAAGGTCTCTTTCAAACCACATCTGAATGGGAGTTTTTTAATGAATCAATATTTTTCTGGACACCTTTGTTCAATATCTAGCTATCACATCTTTACACAGTAATTGAGAATATCACATCACGGATGATCTTGGTCTTGTCTCCAACAACACATCCTTATATTTCAGGATATTTCTCAATTTCTCCATAGGTACAACCAGGCAAAACTCAACCCAAATTAAGTTCATTCCCCCCAGAATCCAATCCAATCCAATGCTTATTTTATGCAAAGCATTTGCTGATCAGACTAGCTGCTCTTTGAAAAAGAAAATGAAATATTACATAGCTTGTTATGCGAGTCTCACCTCTATTATTGCCTTCATAACCAATCCAGCTCCCTTCACAATGGCCATAGAAGGGTGCTGTGAGAAGAAAGACGTATATCAGTATTTACAAATAAACCACTAAGTGGGACAGAATGAATAACACTGTATAGCACTGAAGTGGACATTTGTCTCTAAACAATGTTTAAACAGTAGTTTTAACATATTTATTTTTATCGAAGTCACCTTGATTAAAAATAATTGTTGATGTCATATAGTAACCGGAACAAAATGAAATCATATTTTAAATTTTATTACCTCTTTTATTACCTTTATTATATCAACCTCACCTGAAAGAGCTTGAAGAGGGTTCTTCCATTAGAAGCAACCATCTCTAGTAACATATCAAACTGTTGCCCTTCTGTTGTCTCACTGTATGGGGCACAGAGGGCAAAAGTAAGGAAGTCCAAAAGTGAACTAATAACTAGGGCACCAGTTCCATATTCCTAAAATTAAAAAGATTTAACAGTTTCAGATAGAGCTGTTTTCAAAGACTTTGCACATGAACATTGATCATTTTTTCATTTAAGTTTCCAAATACAATTATACATCTAATCTAATATTCTGTAAAGCCACATGCTTAAATCTACAACATCCATTAATAATCAGAAGGAAATAAAACTTGAAAGCCTCACAAATTTCTTATTTAAGCAGCATAACCCTACATCCAGCACATATTTAACAGAATTTCAATGATGTAGAAGACTTACTACATGTGAATTAAATTTCTCCAACAAATTTTCCAAGAACTTCTTTGAAGAAAGAAGGGATGCTTTGTTCAGCTGTTCTTGCCTCAAGTCATAGTCATCATGCATAGGCTAGGAATAAAAAGAGCTTTTTACCAAAACTCCTTGTCAGTTCCTCAGGCAACATTAGAAGAAAACTTCCTGGTACACACTCTATGCTTTAAATTTGCTAGTACATCAAGGAAAGCACAAAACCCATGATAGAAATTACACAACTCAAGATGGTAGCATTGATTGAGTGGGGGCAGGGGGTTCATTACAAAATAATGAAGACTACTTGTCTCCCTGGTAAGTCATGTATCCTACAGAGCAAAAGTACTGCAATACTCACTGAAAAGTGAGTTTACTTTATCAGTGAAGCTTCAAAAACTTAAAAAGGTACAAAGCATGTTCAAGGAATTCAAAGAGAAGTGAGGTGCTCACTCCTTCACCCTTCTCTTGTCACTACTGAGAGACCTTTCCTAAAGTAGTGCAGGATCACATAAATTACAGATTTAAGGGACACCAGAGAGTAAACAACTGTTGCTAACATTGCCTTCATCATTTAGATGAGCAATATTCCACAGACTCTTTGTTTTGTGAAGGACTTGTCCAATGTTATGTTGAACCGTTTACTGAAGTATTAGATGAAGCAATATTCCTGTTCTCCATCACTCTGTGGAGATGTTTCCTTACAGGAATCAACAGGTAAATCAAGTGAGTCAATGTGATGCAGACTGAGAATGCTTAGTCTTGAGAGGGTCAATTTTTTCCACTGATTCATGAAACTCACTGTATAGCCCACAGCCAGTTGCCCTCTCCCACTTTGAGCTACTTCCAGGGATGTTGTGAAAATAAAATGGGGAGAAGGAGAAACCATTTAAGGTGTCTTGACCTTACTGGAGTAAAGGTAAGATATGTAAATACAAAATATAATATCTAATGTATTTTTATTTCATTTATTCCCTAAATATTCTGATTATTTCTATTCTAGCATATTAGGGTCAAAATACTTACACACATGAGGGCACAAAGCATATCAATAGCAGCATGAGTTACTCCATCATTGTTCCTTTTAAGAGCCTTCACCACCTTCACACCCAAGCGTTCCCGAAATCTTTCAAAACAGTATAGCAACGTTACAGAAAATACAGAAATAATGGCAAAATCAACAAGCTAGGAATAAAGATCTAACTAAAATACATTCTATCAATTTAAAATGCTCAGGTTAGCTAGTGTTTAATTGAGCAGATTTGAAACTAACATATTTTGGAAACAGAACACTTGGCAATGATTTTATTCATGTCCCTTATGTTACTTTTTTCCTAGCAAATTTTAGTGTTAATCATCAAAGCTCAAATATATGTCCTGGTAACTGCAGATGATACAACTTTGAGTCAAACTAGAAGCTAATTTGTTCCATAAGCTCTAGATAAAGATAGCAACAGCTAATATTAACATGCAAATATTAATACTGACAACAGTTCTTTTTTTAAAAGGGGAAAATGCTACAACGAAACTTGAATTGCCAGATTATAACTGAAGAACAAAAATAAAGCATTAATGAAGTTGGGATTTCGTAGATTCTGTTGATGCCTGCCAGCCACCATCAATAAAGACATTAACACTTTAGAAAAAGAAGAATTGCATGAGTAAAGGGAAAAAAGTAATATACAATATAATTTACAAGTGGCATTAAATCAGAATTATATAAATTTTAGTAAAGGGTCTAATAAAAGACCCTCAAGTGTCTAAAAATAAGCACCCTACAAACACTGCAGAAGCACAGATTCTTTGTAAAAAAATTAACCCCATGCACTGGAAATGTGACTTGAAATATAAACTATTTTTTGGCTAGAATCAATGACTTATCAGTATATGATCAGCTGACAAAGGACACTAGGTTCTTCATACATTTGTGTATTCCCTTAAAGAAACAAACACTGAACTATATACTTGTTTGCACATTAACACTGGTGTATAAGAGTCACTATTCTCACAGTTGCACTCAGGGAGCATTTTGAATATTACTTTTGCTTCATTCATAGCTGGAGTAAAATTCACTGCAGCACATGATCAAGCTATATTTGATAAATACTGTGTTTCCCTTCTTCTGGTTGCTGCACAATGGTGGAGGGGGGGTTTCACTTAACTGGGCTTATTTTTGGGGTAAGGCTTCTATTACGAGCACCCTGAAAAATCATACTAGGGCTTATTTTCAGGTTAGGTCTTATTTTCATGGAAACAGGGTACTGGATTGCCTTCTATACAATTCAAAGGGTAGAGAAGCACCTTTGAAGATGTCCAAAGTAGCTTGACCAGGGCTTTACTTTCTATACAGAGACAAACCTCTAGTGGAAAGAAGTGAAGAGCAGAAGGCTGCTTCTAGGGCAGGTGCTCCTTAATTATTAAATAACCCATTGCTGTCTGTACACATAACACTGAAAGCATGTGCCAAGTCAACAATTGTCAATAGTAAAGCAGAGACTACAAGTGCCATAGCAGCATTCATATCCTTTTGCAAATGCCATTATGAAAGGCCCAAATATTACCCAGGGGTTAGAAAGAATACAAAAAGCTGTCATGGGATGTCAAGGTCTTACTTTGGAAGCTGAGTGAAAGCAAGGAATCCAGCTTTGGAGGCAACTAGTCTTCTAACAGCTTGGAACTGGCTTTCAAGCTCTGCTGTAGCTGCTGTAAGATCACCCTCTTGTGAAAGTAATGCAGTTATAGCATTATTTATTAGTTTCTCTTTGTTTTCTGAAAACAAGCCCTAAGAAGGAGAAGAAAGATGTTAACCCTTGCTTTCTAAAACTCATTCTGGCAGAAAGCCAGCATATAAATCAAATAAATATGATGAGTATACTTAATCACAGAATGTTGAAAATGAACAGAGGATTTTTTCTTTTTTAACTTACATCTTGTGTCACTGCATGCAGAACTCCACTGTATGAAATGTTTGAGTTGAATCTAAAGACAGCATCAGCAAAGTTGCCATCTGTAACAGGACAAACAGAGAAAACAATGTCAAATAAGGTATGTATAGAATAACAGCACAACTTGGGTCAACCTGTGGATCTCTTAGAAAGCAGAACACATTCTGTTCAATTGCTATAAATCTCAAACAGAAGACGTACTTGGAGGTGAAGCCAAGAACTTTAGGTGAAGACTTTCAACTTCCTCATCCACTGGCATACTCAACAGGCCCCACCGCTGGCCTTTATCTGTAGGTGTCATTTTCACACAGACATCTCTATTGCCAGAGGCCCTGACTCCATCCAGCAAACTGGCTAACAATGAATCCCTAGGAAATATTTCGATTAGTTTTTCCAGCCAAGAGAGAAAAGTATTTCAGAAGCAGTCAAGGACATATGCACTGCATTTTAATGAACTATACACAAAATAAACATATCTTGGTACAAAGGAAGTAACTGCTATAAACACAAAACACATCATAAAAGAATGTTTTAATTTTATCTGCACCATAAATCTTTGTCATGGTGTAAGGGATAGAGTCTGATAAAGAAAAAAAGTGTCCTATAAATGCACATTTATTGATTGATGTGACAACCTTTTATCAGGAGCACTGGGAGAATGGGAAGCTAGATACTGAATAAATAGACTGATACAAGGTTGTGGGGAAGTTAACAGAAATTTAACCCCTTCACATTCTTCATCTTCATCTTCCATACCCATTTGAAGATAGAATCAAATAAAGCTGATCTGGTTTCTTAGCTCTTTAGTCAGAGATATATAGTGTATGGTTTAAGTTATGTGAAAGGTACAGATAGATATATCTCTCCCTTACAATACCACTACTGGGCTCTTTACAATAAATTCCAATTGCTATCTTAGAAGTTCACCATCCATAAATATAGAACCTTATTTTCACAACACTATATAGTTCTTGGAGGATTCAGTATCAAGTTCAAGAAGTGACTGCATTCTCTCTTTTTAATATATGGTCAACATTTATGAGCATGCCAAAATCAATCAAATGTAAATGCAGGAAATTGAACCAGTGAAGCTAACTAAATAAGCACTACGTGGCCTGCCTAAGATAAGTATATCAATGGGTTCCCAAAAAAGCAATTGAAAATTCAATCCACATTTTAAAATACCTCTCTGTTGAAGAATATTTTCGGATTTGTCCCTTGATAAATTCTATGGTGAAAAGTTGTGGGTTGTCAGAATCACACACTAGTGCAAATACCTTTAAAGAAAGAGTTGTCAAACAGAATGTCATACAAATTCTATTATTATTCTGCACGTCATATATCTGAATGACAGGCTAAAAGTTTCAGCACCACAAACAACATACTCTTGCTCTCTTCTAGCTCCTTTAGCAGCATACAAACTTGTAAATCTGTCAACTGTGCTGTTTTTCAAAATCATGATCTGTAATTTGAAGAGGTGCTTATTAATGTACTTTATGCTTCTTTATTTTTTTATTTGTTTGTTTCTTTGATTTGAAGCCCACTTCTATTAGGTACTATGATTTATATCCCTCTCCACTACTTTGGGAAGTTACAAAAAATATAATACAAAACAAAACAAAAAAAAGATAAAAGTGTTAAAAGCAACTTACAAATAACCCTTAATAACAAATGGTGCAGACCAATCATATAAAAACCAAAGCAAATTGAGGAAGGAGGGGAGGCAATCAGCTAGGGTCGGTGTCAAAAACCTCATCTTTAATTGCCTCCTAAATATCAACAGAAAGGGGGATAGGCAGAGCTCCTCCAGAAGCTGGTTCCATAAGGTCGAAGCCACCAGGAAGAAGGGCCTATCTCTTGAAGAAGACTTACGGGCTTTTATCAAGATTTGTAAACTTTAATATTTCTTATATATACAATGCTCTAAAGAAGCATGCCCCTTACCTCTCCTAAGGGTTTCAATGTTGCTATGTTGTATGTAGCTGGGTCACGTTCCACTAAACAAGTTTCTGTAAGAGCCAATATCCTTTTCACTGGTTCCTTAAAAATCAGAAAGAAGTATGACATTCCAACTGCTAAAGTCATAGAGACCAAAACAGGTTTTTTACTATAAAATCACTAGAAGGAAATCATATCAATTTTTGCTTTGGCTGGAATATTTAGTGGCTCCAATCCTATTTACAGTGGTGCTTCGCTTGACGACGTTAATTCATTCCAGCGAAATTGCTGTAGAGCGAAAACGTCGTCAAACGAAATAAAAAACCCATTGAAATGCATTGAAACCCGTTCAATGCGTCCCAATGGGCTGAATATCTGCTCATCCAGCAAAGATCCTCCATACGGTGGCCATTTTTTGTGCCTGTAAAGCGAGGAATCCGTCCTGGAAAACAGTGGGGGGCCATTTTCTTCAGCCGACGGCCATTTTGAAACCCGACGATCCGCTGTTTGCTGATCATCATAAAGCGAAAATCGGTTCCCAAAACAGGGAACCGATCATAGCACAGTAAAAAAACCCATTTAAAACATCGTTTTGCGATCGCAAAATGTCAACATAAAGCGGATTCGTCATAGAGCAGGGTAATCGTCCAGTGGGGCACGACTGTATTTCTAATCTACACTATTTTGGAAATTCAGGAACGAAAAAGCCCCAAGAAAGTGTCAAAAATACTGAAGAGATAGAATAGAAAAAGCAATTTTCCATAAGCCTTGAAGTTGTTAGTACTATATCAAAGCCAAGAAAATGAATTCTCCCCCTTTTGTGAAAGCATAGATGTACGTCAAATGAAAGAAATATGTTCAAAGCTGAAGGAGCTATGAGTTCCTCAAAAGGAGTTACTCGCCTCTCAGTTTACAATTTGGATTGATTTCCAAGTTTAATTATAAATAAATATCTGATAAATAAGTTTTACAACCAAGGTTAGAATCACAACCAAAACATTGCACAGAACTCAAAGGCATCTTCATATTATGTTTGCTGCTCTTAAACAAAACTATTCAATGCTGAAAATCCAAGCTGTGATCTGAGAACGATTTAGGTTGAAAAAAGGGGCATGCCTGGGCCAAGAGCATGCTTTCCCTCTTTGAACCGCTGACCTCTTTTGACATGTGACACCATTCTCATCTCTCCCTTTAGTTATTTTTTGTAACTATTGAAATGCATACATAACATTCAATTGATAGAATTACAAACCCACAGGATTAAATCAAAAGGTTTGAAAGCATCAATTCATTGTGAATAACTGAATTCAACTTTCCACATGTCACCATGTGATGCAGGAGGATAAGTGACCCCTTCATTTGAGTTTAAAAGATGTGACAGCCTTCTCTATATGCTGTGAAACATGGATGGCTGTTATAAGAGTCCTCACTTAATATGGACTCAGTTTTTGATCTCCAGTTCACCACCCATCTCAAATAATAATGACATGTCAAAATACCTTGCAGAAACATAGTCTGATATGCAGTAAAAGACTACATATTAGCAGTATGTATTCCTCTCCCCCCCAAAAAACCCTCTAAGTTTGAACTAAGCAAAAAACATTGTAGCACGGATGCAGATGCACAAAAAGGGAATTTTGCCAATTTAAAGGCTTAAGTAACACATTTAAATTCAGAGGTCTTACCAAATGCCTAGGAGATATTTTTTGGACCACAAACTCTGCTAAAGATGTGATTGATTCATCATTGCTGTATTTCCCAAAGCGAAGACTCAAATACTGTTCAAATTCTAAAGGTTCTTTCCTTATTCTCAAGGATATGCCAACGTAATTGCCAGCATGTTCTATTGCACTTTTGATAATATCTTCCCTTTGCTCAGAAGCAAACAAATGCTGCAAATTTCAAGATAATATAATCAATGTACTGGTATGAGCATATTAGGATCAATGGCAAGCCAGTAATTTAAGAACTCAGAAACTTGAATGAAATTGTATTTTTAAAACTGAACAATAAATATCAGTGAATATTAATTCAGAGAGCCAAATCTATTATATTTTCTCAACTGCCTGATAAACAGAATTTAATTATTCAAGAGCAATTGCGAATGAAATAATATTAACCCACTCAGCAAAACATGTGAATAAAAACACCCCACAGGACAAAAGAAGGTCGTATCTTTTGCTAAAGACACTCTTCCGGGATATTATGACATAATAAATGTACAAAGTGCTAGACAGCTTTCCAGCTTTGCCAGATCAATGACCTATGAAAACCATTTGAGCATAGATTTAAGTACCATTAGTATTCTATTACGATACTTACTAATCTACTAAACCCGCCATAAAGTATACAGAAACCTCCTGGATAATCAGAGAGATCAACAAATCCTTCAACATTTCTATAGTCATAAGAGCATAGGACTTTATTTGTTGCAGGATTAATTTGGTCAAAGCCTCCAGGAGTCACTTCCAGAATTACAGGTTTCCTTGTATCACTCCAGTGGTGTTTATAACAGTTGTATCTCTGTGAAAAGGAAACAGCAATTAAAATATTATTCACACAGTTCAACAATGTAGCGCAACAGTTACCCGATATGAAAAGTCAAAAATAGTTATACCACCTCTGCTGACAATAGTTGAGCACTTTTAAGGATCTTTCCATATGCTGCAGCTCACCTCTCATAGATCCAACTGTGTAGGAAGCAACACTGAAATCATGCAGAGACTGCTACATGATGAATTCACAGGGCTCATTGTTTTACTCTATGTACACGAAGCATGTAATTGCAGGAAAACCATCACAAACAGTGGTTTCCCAATGACTAACTAAAATCAAAAACAAGCCAACAAGGTATTTTTTCTTAATGTCAAACAAAATAATGGTTTAAGTTTCTGCATCTTGAACTGACAGCATTCCTGGATATGGTCATCCACAGGTATTTTTCCAGTGGTGTGAATTTATACCCAGCACAAGAGAACAGGTCTGCCACTTAAATTAATGAGTATATGCAAAACAGGAAGGCCTAGGCTTCAGACTAAATACCCCAATCAAAACTATATTGAACTCCTAGGTTTCTGTATTGTTTCCTATGAAACAGGAACCGGTTTACCAGGGAAGACCAAAAACAAGTTTAAAATAAATCAGGAAGTTCCTTCTTTGGGCAATGGGTGTGTCAGTCATTCTGCATGACTTCATTCATTGGGTAAAGATGCTGAAAAGCTCACCGAGAAAAAACACTTTGGGGGCCAGACGCACTTTGCCTATCACTTTTAAAATATTTTAAATATATATTAAAAGGGATAGGCAAAGTGCATACACACAGACCTTAATTTTAATCTTCAACATATCAGAACAACACAAAAACTATTCAGTAGCTTCAATTTCTACCTAGTGACAACAGTCAGAATAACTTTCCCCTCCCTAAGACTACTGAATTATGCTTAGCGTATAGGAGTAAACAAAAACTCAAAAATACCTCTGTCAGCTATTCCGGCCAAGGGAAAAGTCTTCCTCAGCTACAACAAAATAACTGTCAAAAGCCCTGCCATTGGTAGTGGTGGTGGGGATCAAACATGCCTAATAATAGAATGTATGTGCATACTGAGAGAAAATATACTTGCCCTTCCTGTGATTTTTCCTTCAGCAAAATCAGTTCTGAATCTCTGGAGCAACAGGAAGGAAAAATGAATCAATAGTAGTTGTACAAAAAAAGTTACATTAGATGTACTAGAGACATTTCAAATTGCTGCATGGTGCCTGTATTTAAGCACACTGGACTGGATGAATCTCCTGGGAACCTGACCAGTCAGATTATATCCAAACATAATATTCTATATGTGCAGGTAGATCCACAAGCAGAACCACCAGCAGTACTTATAGACTCTGCCTATTATAATACTGTGCAAAATCTTAAGTACTTATAAAACAAAATAATAGCTAAGTAGCTATTTTTCTTCTGTTCACTGCTTTTGAATACAGGACTCAAGGAAGTTAGCTTTATGCAGAGACTGAACCCAAACCATAGCTGGTAGAAATATAACTATTGCTGAAGTTATCAGTTATTAAAATTAGAATGTATGATTTAATGTAACATTCAGAAGGAAATAAACCATTCTTATTTTAGTATAGTCACCAATGAGAAGTACAAAGTAACAGGAAATTGAGGTCTTTAAATCCACAGGTTCCTACCAGAGCTTCTGTTAAGAGTTCTGTTCTGTGTTCTGTAGAAAACTTAAGTGTTTCAGACTTTTTTCCACTCCCTTTACGAAATGTAAAGTTGAATTCGGTTCCTTGTCCTTTTCCAACAGGGCTGATGCTACAGATGTCTCCATAAGGCCACTAAAGCAAAAGACGAGCATTTGAGAATATTCCATTTTTATCACCATAAAAACCATAGGGCTACATCTAATGTTCCACTGACGGAAATTTTGAAACTTCCTTCTCTTCCCCCTTAAGCTCTCTATGCAGTCCAAAACCTGTTTCTGCAGAGTTTCGCAGCCCTAGAGTTTGCTTAGTGATAGAAGAGGCTTCAGTGGAGAGGGAACTGTCTCCCCTCTTCTTCTAGAGCAGAGGTCCCCAACCCCTGGGTTCGCGGCCCGCTGCCGGTCCGTGGCCTGAGCTGGACCGGGCCAAGAAGACAAACTTCCCACCCCACCCCCCGCACACACTCATCCCCGCAAAGGCTGTTTGCACCTGTACACGCGCTTGTGCGCCTGCGCGCCTGCACAAGTGTTGCACCGATGTTCGTGCATGCACACAAGCACGCATGGAGAAGCGCCACTGTTCACGCATGGGCACGAGTGCAGGGGGGGTGCCCCGCATCCCCCAGCTGGCCCACGGACCAAAAACAGTTGGGGACCGCTGATCTAGACCAGTGGTTGTTAACCTTTTTGAAAGAAACGCCCCCTTGAGCCATTGAGGAAGTTATCATCGCCCCCCTCCCTGAGGTGATGATATCTTACCCACTCACCCACCCACCCACCTACCCAGTCTCCCTCCCCACCCGGGTGCGAGGCAGCGCTTCACGGGGTGAGGATGAGGACCCAAGAGACCCTTTCCTTCCACCCGATCCACACTCAGTGCTCCCCTAAAGGAGAAAGGCGAGACGTGGCAGGTAGAAAGAGCTGGATCATCTCGCGGCAGCAGCAGCACCGGATCTACTGCCAGCACTGCGGCTTCGCCCCCACACCACCCCTTTTCATTCTACCGCCCCCCTGAAAAATGAAATTGCCCCCTGGGGGGCATTATTGCCCACCTTAAGAACCACTGATCTAGACCAAAGGTCTACTCTGGGCGGCATATGGCCCGCTAGGGGGCCCTACCATGTTTGAAGGGGGCCAAAGAATGGAAACAATTCTTCACATACCACTTTATAAGGTTTGTTATGCAACGTATACAATTGTGATTTAGCCTGTATTTCTATCATATTGTTTATGGCCGTGGCAACAACAACAAAGCAAAACAAAACAAAAGGCTGAGAATGGCTGGTCTAAGTCAGTCACTTAGCCCAGGTGTTATTGGACAGAAACTCCCAGGAACTCCAGCCAGCACAGCTAGTGGTGAAGGCTTCAGGGAGTTGCAGTCCAGCAACACCTGGGTTACCTAAGTTTGGGAACCACTGGTCTATGTACGTAGTTCACATTGGCAACTTGTTCTGTATTTGTTATGGAGATTATAGAAACATAAACCTAAGAAACTATTTAGGTGATGTCAATACTGAATTATATTATGTAATCCCACAAATACCCACAAAATTCATCCTCTATTCCAACATCCCTTAATTCTATGCTAATACAGATTCTTACTCTTAGGCTCAAAATAGTGCACCAAAAGCATGGGAAAATACACAAATGCTTTTATGCACCTGAGTACCTGATAAGGTAGTTCCAAAATACTCATTTGGGTAAAGAATTCAAGTAGATTACAAGCTACATAAACTAGCCCAATCATTTGTTTTTCAGTAATTCAAACAACCACCTGACCATTCTTTTTCTCTCTAACAACATCCACTAAAAGCCAACTTATTCTCACTTTAGAGATAAAACATGACAAAAACTTCTATGTAGCTCTGCTACTATCTAAAATTACCTGATTTGTAACTTCTAATGTGTTTGGATTATACGTTGTGATAGCATGAGTTCCAATGGAAAAGACTCGTTTATATCTATAAACATAACAAGAAACAGTGATGTCAGTTTAAATGCTTGCGTGAAGATCTAATTATAAAACATTAAGATAATACATAATTTTTATATTATAAGAAGTGTTATATTTACTGCACTAGTGACATATACACAAGTAACTCTTTTTTCTCTTAGTCTTCCTTGGATACACTATGAAATGCTTATTCTTTTTCGTGGGGAACCCAATGCAATATTTAGCACACCTAACCTTCACAGCCTCAGCAAATTACCGAAAATGGGAATTGCTACCCATATGGAAACAGTGGAATGCAAAATATAATGCTGACACATTTAAGAATTACATAAGGACCTAGCACATGTGATGGAGCTTACTGCTTTCATCTAAATGCAACGAGGGGTATCTAAAAGTAGTTTTTCAACAGAAATCTGAAAAGTACAGAGTTCAAAAGATATGAGCAAAGAGGTGTGGGAGGAGGACGGAATCTGTTCTGACTATAAATCAGGGCCAGCCAGATTCTCATGCACATGCAAGAATAACAAATTAAGGCTGTAAACTGCATACAAATATTATGCAGCTTCTGATCCAGCAATCTGGTTCTATTTACATAAACATACATTCAGAAGCAAATTTAAATTAGATTTTACAGGTAGGCTGCAAACAAAGATATGAAGTGACCTTATGCACTTTGTTAATAATGTAGAAACCAGGAATCATGACTTGCACAAAACAACTTAGTTGCTAACCGAGCATGTAACAAATCCCAGATTGTTTTGCTGGCTTGTTTAAAAGCTTGAGCTTATTTTACTTCACAGTTTGGTTCCCATGCAACAAAGCAAGAATATAATAAAATAAGATTGAATTCTAGCATATTTGCCCTTGCAGTCATAGGGAGGCGGGGCAAGGACTCCTTTCTGCTTGTGTATACACCATCAGTACTGAATGCATTGTAAAGATGCTTCCAACCACATGCAACATGAATTATTTTGGAGATTAGAAATCAGTAAGGATTCATTTAAGCACTTCACAGAAGGAAACAAAAAATTCCAGAGTGGATTTGATCTTTTTAAAAAAATTCAATCACAATTTATATTAAGAAAAATTAGATTTTTTTAATTATTTCAATTTTAAAAATCAAATTATATTTAAATTGTGATTTAAATTGATTTTTTTAAAAAAAAATCATGGATATTTATCTACCCTGCCAAAAAACCCAAGCACTAATGTATTATTTCTGGTGCAGCTTCTTTCATATGGATCACAGGCACGACTCTCCAGTGTTTAGGATGAGGAAAATTGTACTCTGTTTAAGTGGGACTGTTTCTATAGGATGGAAATTAAAGATACTTGACATACCTTAAAATTTGATTCCAGAATTTGTAGCAATGTCAAATAAGTGCTTAAACTGGGATGCAAACAGCTGTTAAACCTTTTTTTGTCCGTGGACTGGCTGGGGAAGGTGGGTCACCCCCCGTGCTTATGCACATGTGCGAACAAGCATGTGTGCTCTCTTGCACGGGCATGCGCAAATGGCAGCGCGGCACTCGCACAGGTGTGCTGGAGCGCAAGTGCAAATGGGCTGTGCTGGGGTGAGTGTGCGTGGGGTGGGGCGGGGTGGGAGGCCTGTCTCAGCAGCCCTGTCCGGTTCAGACTTGGGGTTGGGGATCTCTGTGTTGAAGTAATGGTTCCCCTTGACAAATTGTCCAGTTGTGTCCAATTCTAGGGGGCGGTGCTCATCCCCGTTTCCAAGCTGTAGAGCCAGTGTTTGTCTGTAGACAGTTTCCGTGGTCACGTGGGCAGCATGACTTAGACATTTTACCTTCCCACCATGGTGGTATCTATTTATCTACTCACATTTTTTACATGCTTTCGAACTGCCATGTTGATAGGAGCTGGGACAAGCGACGGAAGCTCACTCTGTTGCATGGATTCGAACTGCTGATATCTCAACCTTGCAGAGGCTTTGAGGTTTAACCCGGAGCGCCTCCACGTCCCTTTGGACATAGCTGTTACACACCTAAAGCTACCATGTATTACATGTAGCTGTGCCAGGCCAAATGGGGGAAATTTGCTAATGCATCCTGCAACAAAATGCTACAGTATAAAATACTGCTGTTCCGGTTTCTAGCCAGCCATGTCATCTCTCTGGACACTCCATTCCACTTCCTCTGCATCCGGATTTTCCATTCTGCTATTACTTAAAGTCAGGCTGTATTCCATGACCTCCAATCAGAATCAGTCTTCAGTGGACTACTTGTAGAATTTTCCCCTGTATGTATCTGTGTATTTGTGTTAAAAATATCTGCATCTTGTGCAAGATGTTACCATTTTGGCTCCACAATCACAGAATAAAGTGGCCATTAGTATATACTGTAGTTCCATCTACTTCATAAATTTATAGGAATGAAATCGATAAACCAATAGTTCAACATGTAGATTTTCATTATGCAGATACAGAAATCATGACATATTATTCTTAATTAAAACAGTCTATGCAGATAATTCACTAGCAATATATATAAAGTACAGTATGAACATTCAATCCCAAAGACACTTTAATAGATCAAACTGAGAACTCACAGCTGGATATCAGAAACAGGGCATAAGTCAGCACAATTACCCTGCAACTGAAAAATAAAGTAAGACAGACTACTTACTTTCCCCTCCATGAATGCTTTGTTGTGTAGAAACAAGCCAAATCTCTATTTTCCCTAATTATATTCATTTTGTACCAGGACCTGTAACAAAATTATCTCCACATTAATAAAAGTTATTAGCATCAACCAATTTGAACATCATCTACACAAGACTGAGTATGCCATGCAATCTGCTGATGGGAGATGCTTATCATTCAAAATGCTCTAATCAGTCACCTGCATAAAAGATTCTGACTTTCCAAAAATAATTTCACAGTGCTTTCACATCTATTTAATGAACAGCTCTGACTGGGTCTGCATATCCAGGAAACATACTGCTCTAGACAACAGAATGGATGTAACATTTTTAATCACAATTCTTCACATTTTTAAAAGATCCCTGCAAACACAAAACTAGCATGTGAGAAGGAAGATGTAGAGATCACCCCTCTGCTCTCTGTACTATTTTCTATTTACCGACAGTTAAAGTAGGGGAATGTTCATACTGGCTCTCTTCATTCTATTATCTCCTTCTATAGATCACATTAACAGGGCACATTATTGTAATTACAGTACTTCGTGAATACACAAAGCTTCACCTTATTCTCAACAGTAGGAATAAAGTTGTTGTCATGAATATGGCAAAAACATAAACCACCCTTTTAAAAGGTTAACCCACTTGTATCACACCTATTTATTGACTTCACTCCCATAAGGTCACACATCTGAAAAGTGTGTGTGTTTTGTCTGATTATCTGGCAGTTACACTGAACATGAATTACAGCAAATGTACATAACATGCTAATTATGCAAGAACCTTCAGCAGACAGGAAGGGGGGGCTGGAAATGAATTAAACACACACACACTGCTTAGGAAAACAGAGTAAGGAATATATTTAATAACAAGAATAAATACGTAGGTTACTTAAGGAAACAGAGTGAAATATATAATCAATCCAGCAGCCACAGACAAGTTTCAACGTTTCCACATTATCTTTTCTTTACACTGTATCACTCAAAACTACCACAAGCTGAACCCTCCCAAGCTACTGGATTCTTCATTATTTATATTTATAATTCAAAATGCCATCTGTCAAGAACCAATCAAGCTGCAAAGTATCAGAACTGTAGTTTTGTACAAAACAATTGTCTTCAATTACTTTTAAATAACTTGCCTGATTCTCATCTCAACATTATTAAGAATCACCTGGTAAAAAATAACAGCAATTTTCATTTTAAAGGAATAAAATAAATTGTACTGCCTTTTCTATTAATGCTTGCACCTGATTGCATTGTATTTTTCAGCTAAGCATTCTGATTTTTGTTTATTACTCATTTCACTTTTGATAGCTAATGAAATACAGTGGTGCCTCGACTTACGAACTTAATCCGTTCCAGAAGATGGTCATAACTCGAAATGGTCGTAAGTCGAAGCACCATTTCCCATAGGAATGCATTGAAACACAATC